AAAAGTTTGCATTGCTGCCGAGTTATAAAAATATGACCTTAGAAAGATCTCCAGTTCCATGACATTTTAACAGAATTTCGTAAAAATACCCGGATATTAAAGTTAGACTATGATGCTCCTTATAAGGGTGATAAAATACCAAGATCGAAAGCATACGAAGGCGTCGTCAAAGGCCAGTTCAGATTATAGGTTGGCTAGTATAGTTGATGACAACTGGAAATATCTGCATATGTAAGGTGTGTGGAACTTTAAAATTTACAGCAGTAATTTTGTAGTAAAATAAAATGTTAATTGTTGTTCTTGTAGCTTTACCCCATTCACTTACAAAGAAATTTTATTTTTGAGACTGTAGTTCGCAGCAGCGTTACGTGGATGTTGTGACGTAATACGATGTTGGTCAGTTTCAGTTGTGCATCAGTTGTTTAAATAGTTTAAATATAAATATCGCGTCAGTACACTGAAATCAAAGAATTTGCATTTTTATTTATTTTAGTGGTTCGACTATTTTCATACGTGCCTTTTTGCTCGTATAAACTGTGCATCACATTTTAAAGTATATGCAATTTGATCATCCTGTAAGCGTAGTGAAGCGAACATAAAATCCTGCCGATGCAATGAACGCACTCTATGCACAGAACGAGTATCAGATGTATCGTGTTTCATTTGTTTGCTAGAAGAGACATGGCGGGGTGATTGCGGTGTAAGATATGAATGGCGACGAGTTTATTTATAATAAGGACGTATATGTTACGAATTTTAGTGCTGTAAATGCGTATGCCTTGTGTTTTATATAATGACGTAGTTTTTTGTGTATTGGACCTATAACTTGTGGCTCAATCAGCAAATCCGCATTGAGTTTGTGTGTCGTTAGAATCGCGTGTCTCGAAACTCCCTCAGCTAGCCAGGTGTGAGAAACAGAAACCCATAGAAGAATGCTTAGTGCGAGACTGTGTGATTATGAAGCTGTGTGAAGAGACATAACAACACATTCGATGGCGGTGACGGTGAGTACAATAATGTTTATAGTTTTTTGTATCAGAAACGCAATTCATTTACCACATAACATATCCCGATTTGAGATTTATTTGGAGAAATTCTATTGGACGTTTGTAAGAAAGTTGTTCTAGAGATAAACTTCACGTCCTCAGAATGTAGGACAATCTCATGATATAAAAGTAGACCTAGATAACAAATCCTTTGAAATGTTGGGGAGTTTAGATATTTGAGTACAACAATGAAAACTTAAAATGATGTTTATAATGAAGTTAACGGCAGATTAAATTTGGGTTATGCTTTCTACCATTCAGTTCAGAAACTGTTGTCTTCCCGTGTCTAACCTAAAAATTTGAAGACAAAAATAGGGTAATACAGTATGTACTAGACACAGAATAAGTCTAAACAAACATAACTTTTCAGCCCTTGTAACATGTCAATTTATTACATTTTCTATTGTGATTAATATTATGATTAGTAACACATCATTCCGACTTACGTAACAGAACTTGATACTTCAGCGTAAAGTCATATCGCGATGATTTTAAAGTTTTATTAGTGTTTTATTGTGTTGAGGGTGAAAATTTCGAATGTCTAGTAGAAGTGAATTTCCATAATTTGCCAGTAGCGGGTAAAATAAATTATTAAATTAAAATAAGTACAGATTTAACACAATTTTTTGTTAGGTAATTGTGTGTGAACACCTTAAACTTTCGCACATTAATTTCTTTAATTGATTAAGCATTAATTACAACTCAATATACTATACAGCGCCTCCACCATGATCCAGTTCTCATTTTCTAAGTAGGCTACATTAAAGGATCGAAGCGCCACCTAATTAAAACCATACAGTAACAACTTTAAAAAAGTTGAATGACTTCATGCAGATAATATCCGCTTGAAAGGCTTATTATAATCGTTGAACTGGTCAAGAAATATGGAATCATGAGGCCGCCACTGTTGTCCTTCGCGTTCTAAACTTCATAGAGCACTTTGTGACTCAGATTAACTTCCTTTCTTGCAGATCGTGTGGTTAAATTTTGCTGTTCAATGAAGCAAATTCATTTAACATTATGGCGCTTTCCTCACACTGTTATACTTTCTGATATTCTTCGACCTATATCCCGAGGCTAATCTGAAAGATCACTTTCCCCGAATACTTGCAATTCCATACGCCGAACCGGACGGTATTAATCAAAATACAAACATTTGTCCTTGGGTTGACAGGAATGGTTTAACGGGGAGCATCTGTACTTGGGTAATAAATTGTTTGACAGTAATAAGAATATAATTCGAGACATATTTACAATTACAAGAACTTCAGTACCTTTTTCCTTGGTGCCTGATGATTAATACAGAAAGGACCAATGAAATGCTGGTAAAGTTCTACCAGACTACACGGCCCTATAACCCAGAGGTCGGCCATCTTCGCCCTATCCGCCGTGAAGACATCAAATCCTATTTCCTTTAGTATTTGTCAGTGTTGCCATACAGGACTATAATTCACGGAGGGCAGATCCCGTCCACGTCACAAGGCACAGGCAGTTAATCGCCGGCTTGTCTCTGCAGACGTATGTTTTCAGGGTGGATATTAGTTGTGTACTCCAGCTGAGCAGTGGACTCATGATTGGCTCTGTCGCTTTTTTTTATTCCACCTCTCTCTCTCTCTCTCTCTCTCTTTCTCTCTCTGTACAGCGTGTCGACAGGGAGCTCGGACCAGAAATGTGATTTGATAAAATCTGGTGACGAGCACAAAACGTGAAATTCCCCACTGTGTCATTTTTTCCCCATCCGATGTTGTTTATCGTTCAAGATTAACCGCCCAGCCACAATTTTTTTTAATGTAGTACCGTTACGTTAGATTCAAGGCTCTTTCGGCCGCTTAAGGTGTGTCACGAGACTCGCTATTCCGGTTAGGGCTGTTTGTGCTTCGACCATTCTCACTTCGAACTTTTCTTCTAAAGTTTGTTCCAGTCGTTTAACCGGCCCGAAATTGGTAATTTTTCTTGGGGTTCCGAACGGAAGCGTTAGCGGGAAATTTTGCAGCATTTATTGCCACTTATAGACGTAAGAAGATTGTGGCTTAAGATATAAAAAACCGTTATTAACTGAGTGACAAATTCAGTATTAGTTATCTCAAATGTGAGCGAATTATCAAACTTGTAATTATACACATTTTAATGTTTAGTTTCTTAAATATAAATACAAAAATTAATGTGTTCTTAATATTGTCGTGAATATAATCTTGTTTTGTCACTGCCATTCAAAGTACTTTAAATCCGCGAGCGTATTTGTGTATATAATTAATTATAAACTTCACATTGTTTGTTTTATGTAAGCACACACAAATATGCATATTCTCTAATATATTTCGGTAACATTTCAGATAATATCGTAATCACGCTGTTTTTCTCTCACAATAAAACAACCAAACACTTTTATCGCTGACTTGCATTTGTTTAAAATTCATTATGCCAGACGCGTTTTAGCTCCATGGGGTTATAACACCTGGCTCTATGTTTAGTCAGTCTTTTACGTGATAAAATGTTTTATGGAAGTTTGTTTTAGTATAGATATAATACATAGCTAGGAAAAGAAATATCTGGGTGAACAGATAGGTAGGACCCTGAATGTGTGGACAGTCAGTTTCTCGAAGGGATATGTATTTATTACTTCGGTTATATATTTATTTATTGAGTGAAGAACAATTTTACTTCGCCGGCTTTCCAATATTTATCGCTGTGTTCTTGCACTGACAGGTCGTCGAGGTAATTAATTCAACGGTAAATGGGTAAACGTCATTTGGACAGCTGATGTCTTGTGTATTGTCTTGTGGGTGTGTTCATTTGGCATCGTTCGCAAAGAAAAGAAGGAGATAATTTCTCTTTAAGGCCATTAACCTACAAACAATGCGTTGTGATGGGCCGGGCAGTAACAGGACTGTTTTCGAATAACGCCACTTAAAAATCAAGCACAGGTCCTTGTTGTCTGCATCATAAGATCACACCGGTGATAGAGGCAGCAGATACCTCTGAAACGTGAGCAGACTTATACCAGACTACACGACACAGCATCCAAAAAGACAGCCATCTTCGTACTCGTAGCCGTGAGAACCCGAGATCTCATATACGACCATATTGTAGTTTATTTTAGTGATTCGGTTCATATTAACGTATGTGAATCTCATGCATAAGCGATAATGAGATGTGATACAAGGACTTCTGATCTTCAAATCAGGCCGTGTTGAATTGTAGATAAAATAAACCCCGCAGTTTTGCTCTGTTTAGAGAAAAGTGTTATGTGGTTTTGTAGCCCCTTTAGAAAATTTTCCGTCTGCATATACAAGAACTTGAATTATTCGTAAATAGCTGTAAATAAAAACTCTAGCCAAAATGCTAGAATCTTCATCGTGGTGAATTTGCAAAACAATGTTTGTGCTGTCCATCTCTTGAAGTTTGTAAATTCGTCATCATTTACTTTGTAGAACGAGGCTCAGTTATCTTTGTGTGCAGTTGGTTTATCCGCCTTCTTTCCTGTGTGATACAAAGTAGGCCTACATGTTGTAAAAACCTCATTATTCCTACTTTCAGTATTTCTGCGCCTCTTTACAATACACACAAAGTCTCACTGCAAATTCAAGAGGTTCTTTGAAATTAGATGATGTAATCATACCAGATCTGCTGCACGTTTCTGATATTGTTTCCTAAAGAAAGTCAGTTTTCTGTGTCTTGCCATGGTGGGGAGGCAGGATATCAGAGGATAATTTTCGATGGAAATTCAAATAGAATCTGGGGAAGGAAAATAAATTAAATTTGTTCAGGATCGTAGCTTATGGTGGGTTTCATCTACGGACTCTATTAACAGTAACTTCGTTCTATTGCCCACCCTAAAAGTGTAGCTCCTCATTAAGCACTTTAATTCAGTGTTCTTTTACTTTCTTCCTTAGGTTCAAATATTCTTCTCAGCATCCCAGTCTCAAAAACCGACGATATAAGTTGGTCCCTTAGTATGGGAGACCAAGTTTTATTTGCATACAGTATAACAACATTATTGTTTTATGCGTTTAACCCACAAGTACTTACATAAATGCACAATAAATAACGTTTTACAAAAAAAAACAGGATTTTATATTCCATAATATTTTATAAACTATTTAAAGTACACAATAAAGAGAAGTATATTAAGTACAAAATATGTTTACATATATGTATATGTAATTAGCTAATTATATAGTGTTATGTTTAGAGCACTGAATCCCAGTCTATCAATAAGTAATATGGAGCGCGTTATTCTTTGTAGACGTTATTACAGCACATAACTCTTAAAAACGAAGAAAATAAAAATATCATTGTGACTTTTGAGATTTCTCACGGCAGTGATGATGTGGATGTTGATCTCCTGTGTAGTAACGCCGTGTGAACTTGCAGAAGATAACATTTCGTAGGAACGTACTGTTTTCATCTACCTACAAATCCACACGGCGTTGTTAGCCAGAGGAATGAAACATCAACAAATATCATTGTGTTTTAAGGTAGTTTACATTGGAAAACAGAGCGTAACTACTATATGTTTGATCTGGAACTTTCGCGGAAACTTGATGTAATAAAGTTCTCTCGGGCTACCAGCCATGAAAGGCGAAAAACCATAGCTGGAACAGCAAAACGAGAACTTGGCTGCACCCACCGGGTATGAGGGCAGAAATGGTTCTCGAAACGTTGGTGTTCTCCCCCTTTTAACCACCTGACACGGCTGTTAGCAAGAGAGAGAGCGTTATTATGACTACTGTGTGATTACATGTCAAGAGTCTAATTATTATATGTCCTGTTTAGTTTTTTACTCGTTATTTACACAGTTATTTAGCATATTTTATAATAAACTTTTCAGAATTATCACAAATATTTTCTGTGGTTATGAGGCATCTGTTCTCCAACAAACTGAGTCTAATCTTAGTTATTTTGCATTTCTTTCGGGGAAGATTTTTTTGATCCATTAAGTAGCTAGCGCAACTGAACGGGTGAAACTTCTGCTGTCGTTAAAGTATAATAGTCGGTCAAAATCCTTGCAGATATTTTTAGCTCTGTAACGTAACTATTAAGTGGTCAATTATGAATGTTTTTGTCGGGACTCGTCAAAGGCCATACCTATTAAGGTGGCGGGATTATGGCTACACGTTATTATTCCATTTGATATCGGTCAATAATTCTCATCAGAACATTTTTCACCTAGCACCGGGTATTTGTTGATTGAATTTCCTCATTGAACTGATTAAAAGTAACTGAGCTGGCACGTACAATTTACTTGCTGAAGACAGCCAGTCTTTAGATCAAGAGTGTCAAGCCTATGTTTTAATCGGTGGCAGGTAATATAATGTCTCACCTCACCACTGCCACTTAGATTCAGTACCATTTTAATTTTCCTCGCAGGAATTATACTACGTTCGTAATTATCCTTACGATTTTGACACAACTATATAAATGATCATCAAGAAGCGTACTCTTTCCATAAATTTCTTTGGTATTTGTTTTATATATATATATATATATTTAAAGCGAAACACAACGAAGAAACATTTCTTATGACGACTGTTTTGCGTTTATTAAGACTCCGAGTTTACAATTCAATTTTACCTTGATGTAGAACGTAAAGAAATATTCGTAATTCTAAACCTTTATAGAGTTAAAGTAATTGTTTTAACGAAGTCTTTACTGGGATTTTCTTCATATGTAATATTTTTAACGCCTCTGCTGTTACAAATAAATACTATTGTTATATAATATTAATATACTTGAAGTTATTCATTGTATATCGTTATGAGTGTGTATTAACCCTTTGAAGCCGAAGCACGTCTGGATAAGAGTTAAGATTTCAGTCCTTACCGTAAAGAAAACACCTCAATTCACCATTACAAAGATAGCTGGTTAATGCTCTTTAAGGAAATAACCACTGTTCACAGTGAGAATCATATGAAATTTACAAAAACAAAATTCAGAATTACTGACTGTTAAAGCAGGTGGCATATACTGGGCTTTAAAGAGTTAATATGTAGAGAATTTAATATCGACTTGTACTCTTTATTATGTGTTATGCGACACAGCTAAATTATTTTCCTACAGTCCTTTGGCGTCCTTACACTCTAGTTTACGTTTTAAGAACTGATAATCTATATATTCGAATATGAATTTTTACATATAGTTGTGTTCGTTCTTATCGAGAGTTAATTTCCACGTAAGATCGACAAATGCAATAGTGTGGTGACTGCACAAAAGGCTCCCAATGTGGGGCCGTTACATGCAAATGACATGGCCATATTTCGAAAACGGGAAATAAGATACTTCGTTGTTTGAAGATAATGACTTGTCCATTCTGTTATGCTAACACATTTTTTGACTTGTAAGTAATGTTGATTCACTTTGCGGCATGGTTTTGTCCAAGACTGAATTTCAGAAGTTGAGAAAGCTTCATTTAAATGTCCTTCCGCCCTTGGCACAGATAGTGATGAACCTCTTCGTTGAAACGCAGAGAACTGGGGCTATCCAGCTTCTACCGTCCTCAAACTCAGGTTACCAGTTAATGCCGGTGTAGATTTCTTCAGATGGACGTTTCAAGAAGCGAACGATCCATTGCAGTTGCCATCATTGCCTATCTTTCTCTGTTTTTCCGCAGAGCTCGTCCTTTTAGACCTGAAATACATATACTGACTTATTTAATTCTGTATTAGGCACCTTGTACGGGTAATTGCCACCTAATACAAGGAGGATAATAGGCTGCTGAGTCGCCAAGATTAGGAAAAGCGGGTACGTAAGCATTAATCATAATATAACAGAAGGCCGCTGCACCCAGCACAGCCGCCAAATATCCTCACTGTTGTAACTAACACATTGGTAAAAGAATCCGAAAATTCAACACTGCAACGCTGACCTAAAGTGGACACCACCTTGACCCATTTAATTCCACTTCCCATTCTCATAATCTAATTCCCTAAGATGCATATCTATCTGTATAATTGACAAGTGTTGCTTGGTTGGTGTTCATTTTATAGAACCATTGTTAGACTGCAGGCAATGCAAAAATATGAGCGTATTTCTTCGCCATGATATTTAATCATTTAACCTCACCTACTTATCTCCTTAACAAAACAAACGATCTGATTGAAATCGTATATGTGTACTTTCAACATGTTTTGCCGAAATACACGAATGTAGGTTTGAAGAATTCTTTTAATTCTCCTTTGCTCTTTCGGTTTATAGGAAACTGATAGTTAACAGAAAAGCATAAATTCAAAGGGTTTTGACATTGTATTATAAGCTGATCAATAAATGCAAGGAAAGTTATAGGCAATGTACTTGAAACTCTATATCCTGGCATTTTATATAGTCTCAATGTCTGTCCGTGTTTATTCCGTAGATTGGGTAATGTAATAAAAATGTGTTTTCTCGTTGTTCGTGATGGGTAATTATCTTGTTACGATTATAATCCCGTCAATATTTGGTCTTCGAAGCGATTCTCCATCAGAATTTTGTGTGGATTTTTTGTCTATCTCATCCTAGGTATAATGAGGCTGATGTAACGAAACTGATGAGAAAAATTGAGAATGAGAGAAGAAGAAAAGGAGAAACAGGCCATGGCGACGAGAGAAATAAGGAGAAGAGAAGAACGAAACAAGATGATAAGTTAAAATGTATTACATCAGCCTAATCTCAGTTTTAATGCTCGGGAAACCTCTCATGATTTTATCTGGAAGATATTCCCCGACAGCTGGTCGTAACGTGTTTAGCGCCGTTTTGATCCGGCAACTTCTTCAGCACATCAGTTAAGCGGGTTGTCTAAATACGCAGTACACACTGTAGAAAACTGGAGGAAACCATTGATCATTTATGTTTGGAATAATTTTGTTTTGCCCTCCTATATCCCCAAGAGGTCGCAATGGGCATCTCTTACATGCAGTAACAATTTCACCTTGTCATTTATTTTGTCATCTACTCTGAACGTCAAAGACTTCGAGGTTGCGAATTAATTCTTTATATCGATGCTGGTATTCTGGGTTGTAGATGGCAATGTCTCGAGGAAAACAGTCTCCGGCCTCATTGCTGAAGAACGTGTGGCAAATTCAGTTATTAACTTCAGTAACTATGACTTTATTTAAGCTAAAATCGACCCCGCTCCACGATTTAAGGTTACGAGCGCCTGCCAACTTAAATGGTAAGAAACAAATCACATCTGAACTGCGTGTGGCGGTGTCATCAATCGGGGTCCAACTAGCTCTGCTTCAGTCCGTGGCGTAATTTTGTCTGAAGACTAAATAGAAAGAAATTTGAATCGGTAAATCGAGTTCTAAAGACAGCGTGAAGAGTCAGTTATTATTTATGAATTTATTTAACTGGTAAGCTGCAGATAGATTCATAAGTTATCCCTTTCTTCACTTAGTTGTTTCAAAATAAAATCACTACTTCATACATGGCATGGTAACTCGGGATTTATATTTCTCAAAAGCCACTTACATTGCTAAAGACGTTAGATGTTTCTTTCCACCAATAACGGAGAGTAAAATAATACCATGTTTATGATAAAAGTGAGTTCATATGCCAACTTTTCATATACTTTGTACTTTTGCCACTTTATATGTCAGCCGCAGAAAATATACAATTAAATATAAAAGAGATTACAGCGCTATTCCGTGCTCCATATTGTTTGTAGTCGTGGCCAACTTCACATTTTTTACAGGTACCTTGGCAACTCCTCTCCCTCCTGCAGAGTTGCCGCCATGGGTCTATCTCCCGTTTCAGGAAGAAGCAGGACACTCAGACCGCCCACAATTCCGAAGGCTCCCAACACACCCATGGGTACGCGCTCGTCCATCCCAGACTGAAAATGAAGTTGTTAAAAGTAGCAGAATTATGTGCTAATGGTTGGGAGAAGCACAGAGAATTTCCGTCTTCTCCTATCTCCCACCTCGGCACAGTAAAAAATTAAGTGCTTGGAAACAGAACGTACAAACCCAAATCCAGAATTTACCGGATTCATTATCATAAAAGTGAAACGGATTTATATGATTTATAGTTCACCGAATTATCGTTGTGCTGTAGTTGTATTTCAAGTTATTTTGTTTTATGACTTCTTTTACTAAATAATTAGCTGTAAAATAGGCAGAATGTTTTGTAACAAATATTAAATTTATGATTTTAGGCGGAAATTGTAAAAATATGAACAGGATTAAAGAAAGATGTTACATGTTAATTAATCATGGTGATAATGTAATGCCACCACATGAGTTTTTTGATAATTTAGAGGCTCAAAGAATATAGAAAAGACATCAGTGTTGATAGTTGATGGAAAGATCTAAAATATTCTGCAAATCTTGATACTGTTGGAAAACAAAAGATTCGATTTGATATTCTTGAGAAATGGGTGTGATGCTGTTGGTCGAATGCCGACATTTAATAGGTTTTTCTGGCGAATTTTAACTGACACATTTACCATTTTGTATTTTAACATGCAGGCGTAGACTTCGTGGCTGTAGAATTGATAATACAAGCCGACATGTGCATAAAATGCGAATGTGTACTACGAAAATAATTCAAATTGAGTATTTAAAATAATTATTAAAAAATTTCAATGAAATTATTTGTGGAATCGAGCGCTAGAAGTTTTAAGCATATCGCCTCGTGCTGTGGCCGACACTCACCAGGTTCCAGAGATAGGGAACGAGCATCAGGGCTATCCCTGCAGGGACGTTGGACGATCCGACCCCCAGGTTCCGCACCACGGTCGGAAACAACTCCGCTGTGAACACTGGCATAACCGCGTTGGATGAGGAGACGGAGAACTTGCCGACCATCGCAAAGGTGATGGTTACCCACTGCAAGCTTTTGTCACCTGAAAATATTCAACGGAATGAACACTTTGTTCTATTGTCCTCACTGGCATTGATATGGAGTCACTGTTGGCTACAAGACTGCTTCCTGCACTAACATTTTGATGTCAGCTCGTCCTTTGCACAAGTGCACTGGGTGTCTGTATGATAGAGTGTTTGAAATTCGAATCTACTCAAAATATTTCGAAGAAATTAAATATTGTAATATATCCAAAATTTGGTTATAATCACACGTACATGAGACTGAGCTATATTAATTGTCTCATCACCAGAAAGCAAGAATGAAGGCAGCTAATAAATATTTTAAAATGTCAAAATTAAAGTATTTTGGAACAACAGTAACAAATCAAAACTGAATTCAGGAAGAAATTAATAGTAGGTTAAACTCAGAGAACGCTTCCTACCATTTAGTTGATATTTTTTCGTTTTCCCGTTTAGCATAGGTTTAAATAAATTTACAGATTAAATTGAACACAGCTGCAATTTTACATGTTATTTTATATGGGCGTCGAACTTGGTTTCTCGCACTAGGGAAGGTTAAAGATATTTGAGTGCAGGGCAATAGACCGGAGAAAATTGTGTAATTCATCGCTACTTCAGCCCTTCAGATGGAGACAGTATGTTTCTCTGAAACGCTGTCTTCTGCGTACGAGCCTATATCGCCCTAAAACCCATATAAACAAATGCTACATCATGTCAATACCGAAAGTAATGAGAGAAAATAGGAAACTGAAATGTTTACTTCTTTCTGGTGGTTCCGTTGAAAGGAGAAGTTCTTATCACTAAACAGGAGTACGATAAGCAACAGAAGTTGTAGTCATAGAATTCAATTTAACAAAGCAGAATTCAGTGAATAATTTGTTCCAATTTCATACTTGTCTGACGTATACGTGTCCGGTCTTACCGCGTAGGCGGAGAATGTTCAGGGACACTGATATCGTACCTGGTGGTATGGCGAGTGTCAGGAAGCAAGCGACGCCACTCCCCATTAGTGTGAGGCACAGCGGCCACCTCCTCCCCATCTTGAGTAAGAACAAGATGCTAATAGCGACAGCAGGGACCTCTACAATGCCTGCATCACAAGAAACAGCCTTAAAGTTGTGTTCATCTGCCTTAAGATTTCTTAGTCGACCTGTTACACCATACTTTGTATTAAAAGCGATAGACCAGTTTTATGTTTCGACATCCCTGTGTAAAGCATATTTCTCAACTCTTTTTGATAAACGGGCAGGTAAAAGTGTTTGTAAGGAAAGGTAGCGAAAATAATTATGTTTATGAATATAATATAATGCAATGCCGTTTACAGTGGCCGCGACCTGGGGCGTCGGTCTTGACCGCTTTTACACTGAGATCGTGGGTTTGAATCCCGTTTGAGGCATGGATGATTGTCCTCGTCTTTCGGTGTTGTAATGTACTGTGTAGGTACACAGTGTGGGACGGTTGAGTAACCAGTTATCAGAAAACTCATTAAGTCTGTAAATCGGAAAGTTTGAGAATAGCTTATGTGTAAGCTTAAGTGTAATTCGGATAGCTTACCAGACAGAACTGTGTTTAAGTAAATGTCTCCCCCGATGTTGCCAAGATTGAGCACCAGGCCGTAGTAGACAAGGTACACACTGAACCAGATGATGTATAAGACCAAGGAGTTCTTTCTGATATTGGGAGTTCGGAACAGATCCATGATGCCGGCCTTGGGCTGGTCAGTTGGTTCCTTGCGGAGCGTGTCCTAATAAAAGTGACGTACGTAGTCAAGTTCTTCATTACTGTGAGGCACAGAATATTGGGGGAGGAGAAGGACATCAAGAGGAAAAGGATGCTCGGAAGGAAAACAAAAGAAGGAACTGGAGGAAAACAGCGACGAGGAAAAGAATGAGAAGAAGAAGATGAAGAAGAAGAAGACTTAAGCAGCTAATATTAGAATGGTTGTCTACTGGGTTCTTGCGTCGTTTAATCTGGTAGAAGTTTAACGACGTTTCAGAGGTTCATTGTGCCTCCGTCAATAGGACAATGAAGAAGGCAACCACCTTCTTAAATAACTCCCTTTATTCTTACCTGGCGGAGTAACTTATCCAAATTCGGTGGCAGAGGACGATTATTGATCCGTGCTGCTTCTTGTAGAATGACCATTACTTCGTCCGTTCTACCAAGAGCCAGCAGCCAGCGAGGAGATTCGGGCAGCACCCTGGAAGCAGACCAGCAGTACGTATTGTTTGACACTGTCGATTGCCTCACGTTTAGAGTGCGTGTACTGGCGGCGACATAAGTCAAATAGCCTTACCACCAGAGCCCGAAAAGCAATACGGATGGAAGAGTAATGGCGAGCTGTAGTTCCTTCCAGCCCCGGACGAAGTACGCGATGCCGGCTATAGTGATGTAACTCAGAGGCACCGGGAACAGGTAAGACACTCCGGATACCGTCCGCCACTTCCCTCCCACCAGCTCCATACCTGTCAAAGGTCACAACGAATCAGTGAAAAAGGAGACAGTGTCTGAACATTGGAAAGTTGACAGAAGAAACGGAATTATGCCAGTGCTAGATGTCATTCGGCCATTGCATTGAACCTAAATTTGGAATCTCAAGAATCACCGATTTATACGACAGAAACAAATGAATGACTCTCGAAGATGTGTCTTCTAATATGTTACGCAGCGTCGTCTCGTATAAATTGACCGGCGTTTCAGAGGTGATTACTGCCTCTATCATCAGGGCATTTATCGCCCTGATAATGCAGGCAGTATGCACCTCTAAAATGTCGGTCAGTTCCTACCAGACTACACGGCACAATATCCTAGAAGGCGCCGTCGTGAGAACCTGAAATCTCGCAGTGTTTCCGCTTCAACCAAGTTAAAACTCGTGCCACAGTTTGAATGCGTGCGAGAATACGGTGTATTTCTGGTACCACATTTCGTGCTAACACCAATTCTTACGAGAACTAATGCTGAGTACCCCAGGTTTTTCTTTTTGTATGATCACAGGTTGGGGTGTTTAACAAAGTGCGGAATGAATTCATCTGGTTTAGGGGAAGAATTCAGGGGCTGTTGTGAACATGGTATTAGGACTTCTGATTCCATAAAAGAATTATTGAATCTTACATAAAACAAATCCGCTGAAGACGACACTAACGGAGATGAAGCCGAGGAAACATCTGAGGATGAGGTACAGCTCGAACCATGGAGAGAAAGCCATGATCACAGCAAGACAGATCTGCAGCACCAGCGAGCCCATTAGAGTCCTCTTCCGTCCAAACCTGAACAATAAGTTTTTTATTCAAGTTTATACTTTGGCCATTTTTAAGGTATAGGGCTACTTGTACAAGTATTGTGTAATTTGTACACACTACAGGCTTTGAGAACAAGATATGGACCCGCATAAGAATGAATGAACTTGAGTAAAAAAGACCAAGACAGTACAGAAAGCACATTTACGGTTAACGAACTGCAGGACGCAGTAAAAGTAGGCTATTTTAATATAGGCCTTTGTAATTTCAGCGTAGGAGGACTTTATTTTTTATGAGAATGCCAGAAACACAATCTAGAATCATTACATGGGCTATCCCATAATGATTAAACAATTTTCATGTGGAATGAAGTATTTTGTGTCACAGTAAAACAATTCTGTACATGTAGGCAAGACGAAAACAACGTATTTTAATATAACAAATATAGTATCTGCAGTAACACTGCAGGTAAATTCGAGAAATGGCTACATTGCCTACAAATTCTTCTTGATTCAAGGCTTATTATAGGCTTAATTATTCGAAACGTATCATTGTATAACATAGGAAAGATTATCATACCTAAACCTAACATCTTAGACGGAACTCGAACCCAGGACAACTTTTCGAGGTTTTAGTCTTCATCCATGTAATCTCCCAGCTGAAACAAATAGTTCCGTTGTCGGTGTCGTTCTTTCATCGTGCTTAGTTATCGAGTTACAAAAATCATATTCACTGGGACTTGAACCCAGAAGTATTTTCGAGGTAGTGGCCTTTTTCCCTGTAACCTCCTCGCCGAACAAACAACTTTTGTCTTGGCGCAGCTTAATTTACGAGCTACATAAACCAACCTCAGTGGGGCTTGAAACCAGGGCACTCTATTTGAGTTCTGACCTTTGTAAATTTTTTCCTGGTTTATAGAAATAAGCATACCAAGTTTGAGGGAAATTGTTATATCCACGCTCGAGCTGTAATCGAACACAATTCTAATTTTCTGTTTAAGATGGCTGCACCGACATTACGTAGATCTCATTGTTGGACTTTGACATGAGAAACGAACTGGAGTGTCTGAAATTAGATTAAGGGCTGTCGCGAGTAATAGGAAAATTGACCATGTGAAGAAACAAACAACCAATCAAGACAATCTAAGGAAAGAAACTGATGACCATTGTCCTAACAACAAAATATACGTGTTGGTCTTTCAGAATCTGTCTTCGAGTAGAATGAAAGCTATTCTGTGGGGCTCATTATATAAAATATATTATCACTAAGTTTGCTACTGCAAGGTAGGCTCTTGACTTTAAAGAGAAAAAAATCCTGCATAATGCAATCACCTTCCTGCTGTAATCTGTCATCATTGCTATGACTTAATGAGATCATTTCCACATTAAACTGAAGTCTGTTCCTCTCCCTTTGAGCCGGTAGTTTTCTGTGTCCTTTATGTTAGAGTTACCGACCTACAAGTAATATATGAGATTCTAGATTCTCATGGTGGGAAGTTCGAAGATGGCTGTCTTCTGGGTTGTAGGGCAGCGTAGTCTGGTATAAGTTATTTACATTTCATCTCCCTGATAATGGGGGCAGCAAGGATCTCTGAAACGTTGCTAAACTTCTACCAGACTACACGGCGCTACAAACCAGTAGACATCCGTATCAATTTTAAATTAGTTTTCAATCACAAGTTTTCACTACAGCGTAAATATATACAATTTTAGGTAGAACGCACAGATTCGTCCCGACTACTGCACAACATGATTCTATACAGCCTAAGCCCACTGTAGGTGTTGAGTATCATACAAAGATAAGATATTAATGCAATGGTGGTGCATATCTTTGAAACGTAAAGAAACGTCTTATCATGGGTAGCGTGGCCGAGCGGTCTAAGGCGCTGGTTTAAGGCACCAGTCTCTTCGGAGGCGTGGGTTCGAATCCCACCGCTGCCATGTTCTTTTGTACTCGTACTCAGAATCAGCTGTTTATTTTTTCCTCAGTTACGAATTCATTTAGGGAGAAAGGTTTGCACACATTATTACTTTCCGTCATACATCAAATGAAACTTAAGTTTTTCACATTTGTAGTTGTTATATTATTTACTATTTGAAACTTTTATAGCTACTTACCCGAGTAAAATATTCCCAGTTTTAGTCAACTTAGTTCTTTATCATATTCGTAATAATCTGCTATTGAATCTCATCGAAGGCTTTAATCTAGTTTACAGCTTCATACCCTGTTCATCTGAGATATATTTTAATATTTTTCTCTCATCAGATCTTCGATCTCCAAAGCGATCTGTTTACGTGAGCTTTTCTTATCAACAATAAATATACATTTCACATTTTCATGAGTGCTCATCTCTTTAGAATTTTATTATCCTAACAATGTTTGGTGGAGTACATATGAAGATCTGTATTGTGTAATTTAATCTTATTGTTAATTCCTCTCTCTTGTACAAATATTCTCCTTAGCGCTAAGTTTTGTTTAACAAACACGTGACGTTATGCGCCCAGAGCATGGATGTGAAGTAATGACATAATTTGCTTCATAAGATCTATATTATCTGGGCATTATCTTAGAGGTACTTCGGAAAACAATGAAAGTTTGTATCACCATAAACAAGATTTCCACAGACACTTTCCAAATTCCGGATACTAGCCAAGATTTCCAACCAAAGTATCGTGACATTTGAAATTGGCGTGGAGTGAGAAATTATAGTCAAAGACAATTTTATTGTAAGTTTTGGCAAAGTAACCACAAAGTAAGAAAACATGTCTTACATTTTGTATTTAATCGCTCTGGCTTCAATGCAGCTGATCCTATCGCCCACTTCTTCTCCGGTTCCATTGCAATAAATGTTTCTGGTTTGTATTTGAGGTATTCTTCTTCTGAATCGTCTAATCGCCAACTAAACTGTCATGCTTCATTAAATTTCCCTAGTTTTTAATAACAATTGTTCGTCTCACATCACAAAGGCACGCGGATTGAAATTACTTAAGGGAAAATGTATAACGTTAGGACTTACTTTTCTTTATGTATCATATAAAACATGCATACAAACAAAACTGTTTACACTTTGAAGGACACTAATGCCAAACGTGTTTCGACCTCAAGAGGTCATCATCAGTGACAAAAATAAGTTAATTCATATAAAACAAATCAGAAGTATTATGGTATTTAACAGAGCTTAAAATGTATGTACTTTACAGAATCATATTAATGTAACACGTTGATTGCACAGGAGTTGGTGTATTATGTTGAGCACTTAGCGTTTGGCATTAGTGTCCTTCAAAGTGTAAACAGTTTTGTTTGTATGCATGTTTTATATTCCAATACACTACACAGCGTGTAAGGTTTTAAGATTTATGTATCATGATCAGGAATTGGGATGATTTGGAATTTTAGTAGCCCTCAGGGGCGAGGAGGTATGGGGAGAACGTGGAAACACAAAAAGTATTAATTGTACTACCTGTCAGACACCATACCCGACGCCAACCCTCCGACAGCGACTCCGGCCAGAAACATCATCTCTGCTACGTTGACGAGCTGTGCCCTGTCACAGACCAGATGCCACTGGAACAAAGAACAAAAAAAAATTGTTGTTGGATTGTGGTCTTCTGTGTTCTGACACTGTATGGTCTTGTTGGTGGTTACCGACGTTTCGGAGAAACATATCGGCTCCATTTTCAGGGTTAAAGATGAAAGCTATTTGTGTGATATTTGGCTGCCTCTGTAGGATCCTAAATGCATTAAATAACTAATTATCTCACGTTTAGCATAACATGAACGCCCATCAATGTTAACACCAAAGCTCTCCACTGGACAAGAACTTGATCCAGTTTTATCAGTTTCGCATCATAACAACACATGTGCCTAAGAACCAACTTATGACATTTTCTGTGAAATTTCCCAACTAAAATTCTGTGTGAATTCTTTGTTTCCTACATCCTACATTTAAATACGTAAGTTACTTCCAAAAAGTAATCCTAGCGGTATCGAAGCCGCCTGACAGCATGTGCACGCCCAGAACAGTCACTAAGCCACTACGTCACTAGGAACATGAAGGCTCCTGTTAACTGTGACCTTGGTCAAGAAGAAATGCTCAGTTCATGCGAATGATTTAAGAAAAGCTAATTTTATCATTGACCCAGAAAACAGTCGCTAAGAGCGAGCGAGCAGTGACCTTCTGACATCACAAGGCGTGCTTTATATTATATTCACTGCAGACTTTTCACTGGGTGAAGTAGAAATTTGACGACTGAGAGTCCTTGTCGAGAGTTTACTGCACCTGCCTCGTAGTCCCGAGATCTTGGGTTCCAATCTTGGCCCAGAGAACGGTTATTCTTAAGTTTATCGTAGTTTTCCTCAGTTCTTCTAGGCACATGTTTCACTGATGAAATGCCATGGATCAGGAACGGTGATAGAGGGTGTGTTGGATTCAGCTGGCTCAGAATAGGATCCGATAGTGGGCAATTGTGAACACGTTAATGAACCTTCGAGTTCCATTAAAGATTGAAGATTTCTCGATCAGATGAACTACTATCTCAAGAAGGACCATATTCCATAAAGAAAGTTACAATTTAGTAACTTCACTTGGCATTATAGAGGCTGGGATCTATACTCCTATGCAGTGTACCAATCTTGGTATGATTAGCTATTCGTGAAAAACTGGTGTTTCGTTTAAGAAGAGTATTCTGTAAGATCAGAAGTACCAACAACAAATACGTCACACAGATTTTGGTATAGAACTCATGTACCAAATTGAATATAAAAACGTCAAATAATTCTTTGAGGTGAATCGTGCGAGAACTCACCTTTTCCGTAATCGTTTCTCCAAACTCGGTGCTGTCAAACTGCCATTGTGTGCAGGCCCTGCTAACGTTGTTGTGACCAGACAATGCCGCAGTTGAGTAGTCCACGTCCCAGATATAGCAGGGATTGTAGCTTCCCTTGCCATCCTGAGAAGTTATAAACATGCAGTGTAACTTGCTGAAAGTAAATATGTAAATATTTCACACGCTTGTGATCAGTATATTTCCGAAACTCAGTTCTGATATGTGTAACATGCTCTCAGTTTTATGCCAACCGTCGTGACAACTTCTCACCCTAAGGATACAATGAAAGTGTTTAAAACCAGGGTGCTACGAAGGAAGTAACAGGAAGACGTAGAAAACTGAGTATGACAAGGTTCATAATTTGTAAGTTTCACAAACTATTATGAAGGTGATAAAATCAAAATGATGGTATGGACACTGTGTGTAGAATGCAGGGAAAGATAAAAAATAGGTACAAAGTTTCAGTAGGGAAACCTGATGGGAAGTGACCGCATGAAGACCTGGGTGTAGATAAGAGGAAACTATTACGATTAATATGAACAAAAGTGGGTTGTGAAGTATTGAGTTAAAATAGACATGGATGCAGTTTATTGGCAGGCAGTTATGAAAACGGCAATCAAATTTAGGTTTTATTAAAAGCGGGATATTTCTTAACCATCTACAAATTATCGACAATACTGTGAGGAATTTGTTCGTGATAGCTGTAGAACTGGTATAAAGAAAAACCTTATGTGCCTCCATTTGTTTATTTGGAGATTTCCGCATTACGGAAAAAATTTTATGCTTTATTTGTATAATGTTTAAAAAATATCTTAAAGAAAGATAGCCTACGAGTTATTAGGTGTTTAAATTTATAAACACGTATATATGAAATATAGTTTCAAGTTGAATTGGGATACGTTATATTGAGTTAGGTTCCGTTGTTTTGGGTCAGGTTGAGTTAGGATAGGTTAGGTTAGGTTTGGTTAGGTTTTTTATTATCGGTTAGAGAAGTTTGTGTTGTTTCATGATGGGATGGGATGTGTCCTGGAGAATTTCTAGCGTGTTCATCGAGTGTTCGTGGGGATGTGCATTGGAAGTGCTGGAGAAGTGCTGGAGAAAATATGGATAAGTCGTAGGGTGGTGTAAGATAAGCCCTGGGTAGTTGATGCGGAATTTCAGTGGTCATGGAGAAGTGCTGGATAAATCCTGGAGGAATCCTACAATAGTGCTGGAGAAGTCCTTTAGAGTTTATGTGGAAATTTACATAGGCATTTAGAAGTGCTGGAGAAGTCCTGCTGGGGTTATGTGGAAATTTATATATTCATGAGGAAGTTCTGGAAAATTACTGGAGAAGTCTTGGAAAGTTTCTGTGGAAGTCCTTAAACGTAGTAGGGCTTGATTCTATGCCGGCCGGTTAGGTTAAATTCGTTTAAGTTGGATTGGGATATGTTGCATTGGGTTAGGTTGCGTTGTTTTTGTTAGATTGTTTATGTTAAGTTAGGTTAGGTTTGTTTAGGTTAAGTTAGGTTAGGTTAGGTTAGGTTTAGTTAGGTTGGTTAATTATGTTCCTCAGGTTCGGTTAGGTATGGTTGTGTTATATTACTATGGGTTGGGTTGTTTTCTGGAAAATTTCTAGGGTGTTCTTTGAGTGGTCGTGTGGATGTCCTGGAGACGTTCTGGAGAATTCCTGAAGAAAGTCTGTAGTGGGCTGGATAAGTCCCGGAGAGGTTATGCGGAAGTTTTGTAGTCATGGAGAAGTGCTGGAAAATTCCTGGAGGAGTGCTGGAAAAGTCCTGGATATGTTCTGAGGAAGTTCTTAAGCGGTGGTTGGTTTGATCCTGTGCGGGTTGGTTAGGTTAGATTTGTTTAATACATTTTAGTAGCGTTATGTCAAGAAAAGCTACTTTTATTTCTGCTGGTCTTTTGTCTGTCTTCTGTAAGTATTTTCAGCCATATTAATATTCTCTTTACGTTATACTTCCATTTTAAACTGTACCACTATCTGACATCTTTGCTATATTTAATTTGTGATTTATGCCTCCTCATAATCCGTTATTGACGTTTCCCATTTATCCTTATATTTGTTTAAATATAGCCCAGTTGTCTGCAATTTGTCGTCAGTTTAGTTTTTTTCGCTTTTACCTTTGCGTCTGTTGTATGAGAGATGTTCCTCCATTCGTCCACCGAGAGGTTTCCGAGGTTAGGTGGTTTCGCGCACCAGAAGTCTGAAGGCAACGACTGGAACGTAAGAGCGAATATGTGCCATGTACATGGGATGTTGAAGAGCGACAAGAGGAAAGTCAGCTGCAGCTGCCATCGCCCAAACTCGCCCACAGCCTGTGATATACGATCCTCTACTTCTTCATCTGTCCTGGTTTTGACGGATACGTGTTTCGGCACAGCGTCGCCAGGCGATGTCGTGTCGGACATTGAGACTGTGACAGAAAAAATAAATCTTATCAGCATCATAGGTTTTTGTACGACAGAAAAATAGCTTGGTTGAAAAATTGAATTTGCCTTATGGATAGTATTTTATCAATGAGTATAAAAACTTCTGTTTTAAATGTAGGTAAGCTTCAAGGAGAAATGTTAACATTACTAGCTTGTTTGTCGAGGATGTTATCTCTGATGACAGCCAGACAGACTTGCGTGTTTGTATTACATTTCCTGCGTACATTACTACTAGAGTCAGACATCGATGTTTACGTCAGAGTGGGCTTGTCCAATATTTTTTGTGTTCCCAGTCACTTTCAAACATTAGTTTACAGCGGCGGACAACAAAAGACTTCAAACTTATATAAAAGCCTCTATGATAATATAAATATACTGGTTCCGTAGACTACTTAAACAGAATAAAACATCACATCGGTAATGATAACCGTATACGAGTTTTATATTTTTATAGACGGCATTCTACTTATGTGTACGATGAGTCAGTTTTGATGAAATCTGTAAGTATGATTTGATCTTCATGCATAATGGGAGTTATATGTGAACGAGACGAATCAAAATTAAGTTCTCCCAACAATGTCAAGTAGGTTATAGACTTGCAATACCAAATTTAATAAAAATCCGTTCAGTGATTCCGGAGATGAAACACATGGAAGGACGGACATACAATAGCTCCCTATTACGCACTAATTCAAAGAATTATAAAAATAAAAAGGCAATACACGAATCTTCTCTGATGAGAGATACAAGAAATTAAGTTACGCTATCTTAAACTGTTGCCCTGTCTTGAAGGACTTTCTGTAAGCATTGATATAATAATATTGTACTTGTAATTGTTTGTCGTAAAATGAATATAATGAGTGAGAAATTGTATGAACACTGCTGGAGGTTTGGCTGTCCAATGGGACTAAATTTGCATGATGCTTAGATTTGGGCATCCCTGACCTGGAGATGTTATATAAAAATTAAAACTAGTTAAATGACAGTTAATAATTTTTACTGCTGTTACATTCTCAGAATTAAAACCAAGTTCAAGTTAAAGTAAGTTGCATAGTAGAGTGTTTGAATAGCTTAGCTGTGTGTGGCAGAGATCGAACTATGTTGGCCTGCCTTCCACAAAGGAATTTGTAAATGCTGTCAGTTGTAAGTCAGAATGCTTTTCTTCATGTGAAGTTTATTTATGCGATAAAATTCAAACACATCGACCACAAGAAACATCTGTGTCTTCCAAAATTGTGCGCTTGGTATTGAGAAGTTCCAATCTATTCCACAGACACATGCAATAAATAAAACGAGTATTCACAATTTATTTAGGCTCTAGGAATCTTAGGTCGAGTTTTCTTGTAGTCTGCATTTCTTCTTACGTTATGTCCATTCCATAAAACAGTAACGAGACCAATACAAGATTTGGAAATGTATAATACTCAATTTATAAACACAAATGAAGGAAGGAAGAGAACTTTAACACAAAACAATTAATTTCTCTTTGGGTTATTTATAACGCTTTATCTACTGCACAGGTTATAGAAATTCTAACGTCATACGGTGAAATAAAAGTGGAAGATAAATTGCAAAAGATGGTTGTCTTCTAGCTTATAGTGCCGTGTAGTCTTGTAGGAGTTTACCAACGTTTCAAAGATCCTTGCTGCCTCCATCCGTAACTGATTTGTATGTACTCCTTATTGCAGTTACAAGACGCGGTAAGTAAACCTAAAATCCTCATTTAAACAGGGGACAATGTTGTTTATCATTCATGACGGCCACAGATCCGATCTCATTGGATAATTTTGTATTTCTAAGCAATTTCATAATCGATCAGTCGACCTTGGTTAATTTGGTTTGAGACAGCAATTTCATAATCGATCTTTTTCTGTGACTACCACGATTACGGACCAAATACTCTGACGTGTTCCGACAATAATAGGACTGTCAATAGGACTCATATTATTTGTGTCAGTATGATGACGTAAGGAGATTCTGGCCGTCTGCAAAACTCTGCCATTGAAGATCGCATAGAAAGTTGCTATGTTTCGAGATAAACCCGAACCATTTCCCCAGCTAGACTGGGAGTCTAAGACAATGCGAGCGTTAAATAACGTGGCCACTAGAACCGCCCCCTTATTCATAAGTGTTCACTTAGCATGGGCAGATCACACCCATCGCGTTCGGACCCTATCAACTCATTATCTGCGTCCGCTGGCACTGACATCCTCACAGACTGAGCTGGATGCACGTATCTGGAACGGGGTCCATGAAGTCCGGAGTGAACAGTGTGTCTAACTGCTACTGCAGTTGACACCATTGCTGTCTGGGGTTAATCCCTTGAGATGCAGAAATTATAGAAAATATTTAAACGTGTTTCCCTGGAATTCACTTTGATGGACTGACAAAAACCAAAATAAACCTCAGTCAAGGAATGAGATTTCAGGTTCTCACCTACGTTGTAGCATAACAACAGAATTGGTGATGTGAAGACTTCCTTGCCACAGGATAAATAAAGGCCTTCATCTTCAATAAACGTAAAGAACTTTGTCCTGTTTCTCGTTCAAGAGATCCCGTCTTCAAATATCGGTCTAGAATCTGACAGTCCTGCTGTTTTCGTGATTTTACTCAATGCTTGAGGCAAATTCCAGGATGATATAACAGGCCACGACTTATTTCGTTCTCCTTCCCTTTGAATTCAGATTGTAAAATTTTTCTACCTACCATTAGACGTTACATAACTCATGCATTTAGGAAACCACCATTAAACAACACAAGAATCAAACAGATGATCAGTCATTCCATCTAGTGAAAAAGGGCAAGAATTTTTATGTGACGAAAGTAATTATATGTAAGTTCCTGAATTGCTCTTCGATGTGATATTTGGGCAAAAGGGCACATTACAGTTCATTATCTAAGAAGGCTCGCCATCAGTTTTTCACATAATGTGTAGTTCTATTTAGGAGTATTATATTGCGTTTTATTTCAAAACCACTGCATTAAAATGGGCAGGAACTGTTGTGGTTACAGTCAAAACCACGCAAACTGAATGCACGTAAGACAATCTTATATTTCAGGAGGTCTTCCGCAATTGTCGGACACTTTTTTCCTGTTTACTTGTAAGCTACTAAATCTCAGCCTCAATGATGATATTTCTCCCATGTAGCCTGTGAAACAGGCAGGAAGTTCAAGTTCATTGCCATTTATTTACGCACTGTTAAAAATTGTTTCAACAAAATATTAAGGAGCGAACAGTATTTCGTATGAAATGTAATTACAAAGGCTGATAAACCTTTTCTGTAAAAGACTAAAAGTTTTATAGACCCGTTCTATAATTTAATTTAATAATAATGTGTATTAAATAGGATCGAATTTTTATGCCTTCAATAAAGGAATAATATATTGTTCGTTCTGTGAAAAGTGAGTGAAAAAACTCATACTCGTAGCTAAATGATTATATTATATATAATAATGTTTAATATAAACTTTTTATTAAATAAACTTTCAATATCAGTAACAAAACACATTTTATTATGTCACAAACAAAAAATTATCCAAGCCCTTTAGAATAGCGGATTTGTTCGATTTACAGCCACTAGTTATATTTTTAATGCGAAATATTGTCAGCCCGTATATTATAGAAATACACGAGGTATTTGGTAACATGCCACAGTGTTGTCACAAATAATCGAAAGCACATTGTCACGTCCCTGTTAGCTGGATAATTTAATTTAGAGGTCTAAAAGATCACCAGACTAGTTTAATATAGAGTAATGTACAGTTATATGGCGTTTTACGAGAGGTTCCTCACCAGAATTCTGTTTCAACTTCTAGTATCCTTAGTGCCACCCACATACTCAACTCACTGCAACGCCCTATAGGGCGTTATCTTAATAGTTTGTTAGGAACTTCTTCGGTATTGATATGTAATATCACAAATTGTTCACTTGCTTCGTAATTCTTAGGTTTTTATTCTGGAATATAGGATATAACATAAAATATATAATGACATGGATATATAGCCAGCGACAGACACAGAACATTTTGAAATAAGAAACCAATATTTCTTTTACGATTCTTAGAAGCAGAAATTTTGTTTAAAGATTTTTAAATGTTGCACTGATTTATTGCGTAGAATATGTTTAAAGTTATTTTGTGAACCTTGAACCTCACTTACCAAAACTGGAGAATTTAATGCTTCCTGAACAACCGACTGGTGATGACCAATCCGTATCGCCATTTATTTCTCCTTGCATCGTAACGAGAGGCGTTTGGTCACTGGCGCACGAGCGGGTGCCCGTTCAAAGACTGACAACCGCGAAGTCGTGTTAACACGTGATCCCTCACGGCCATGAGGCCACTTACTATTTCGATGCGAGAAACTGATTTTATGTATGTAAATCTAAATTACCGTCGACAGAAATATACGACTGGAGATAGAAATTTTTTCTTACTGATTCTATTCAGCGTCACGTTTTGAATATAATTAAATTGTATATTGTTCTTACCCTATATACATCACTTTTAAATCATTTAATGTATTCCAAATGTAGACACCAACAAAAGCTTTGCGAGATATTCAGAAAGAAACATTTGATGTCAAAATGCCACATAAAACAAAACTTTACCAGAAATTACTTTGTTAATCGAAGCTAAACATACGTGGTCAATATGTTATGTAATACCAGTATTATCATGATACTTAAAGACAACATGGTGTGACTAGATTAAAATGGCTCAAGGTAGTTTATAGCTGCAGGCTTCTGTAAATACTGCCATGAACCTTCGAGTTCCATAAAATGTGGGGAGTTTTTGTGACTAGTTCAGTGACTGTCAAATTTTCATGAAGACCGCTCACCACAGTGTCGTGTGATAGGCTGCAACTTGAATGTAAAAATTATAAAAAGTACACGTGCGTTTTCTGGTAGAGTAAATTGCTTCAGCTAATAATGTAGGTCACGGTATTCCGCCATCCTGCGCACTCTAATCCTTCAAGAGATTC